TATTAATGTGCTTATTATCCATCTTTATGTCTTCTTTGCAGAAATATCTATTCAAAATCTTTGCCCATTTTTTAAATTGAGTTATCTTGTTATTTACGAATTGCAAGCATTTTTTATATATCCTATATATGTAAGTCCCTTATCAGATATATGCTTTTCAAATACTTTCTTCTACTCAGTGTCTTACGTTTTCACTTCTTGATACTATCTTCTCAGGCACAGCAGTTTTCAATTTTGAAGTCCATTGAATCCATTTTTCCTTTGGAGTCATAGCTAAGAAAACACTGCCAAATGCAGTCACAAAGATTTATTCCAGGGTTTTCTTCTGAGGGTTTTATAGTTTTAGCTGTTACAGTTAACTGTTTTATTTTGGGTTAATTTTTAAATATGGTATTTGGTGAGAATCCAACTTTATATATATATTTTTCACATGCATACCCAGTTGTTCCAACACCATTTGTTGAAAACTATTCTTTTCCCATTCTATTTTTTTGTTAACCTTGTATAAAATCAGTTGACTGTAAATGTGCAAGTTTATTTTTAGATTATCAATTCTTAGCTTATTTATGTCTATTCTTAAACCAGGACCAAATCGAATTTAATGAGAAGATGTTTTCCAAGCATGTTGCATGTTACCAGTTGTCTTATATCATAATAAAAGTTAAATGTAGTGGAATATTTACTTCACCTTTTGTGTCTTAAAGAAGTCTGTGGCCAGCTTATACCTTACTTACTCTAAGACATGATGGCAAGTCAGGCTTACAAGACACACTTTATTTCTTTTTTTCTTCATTCAAACCTTCAGTCTCTTATCCAGTGCCTCCCTCTATAGTTTCATTTTCAGTAAATTTTGGTCACAGGATCTGCTGACATAGTCTACTATTTAGTGCATTATGTTTTGCTAACTCATTATAATTCATAGAATCATCCACAGATGTTTACCATCCAGGAAGGAGAAGTTTAAGTCTGAGCTGCCAGCTTTCCTCAGTGGAAACCAAGTGAAGTCATCATCTTCCAGTTCGCAGATCCGCTTGCCACGTGGTAGCTGGTTCTCTTGAGTAGCACTGTGGCTAATCCTTTTCTTGGTGCCGATCTTGCATTCTCAGAAACCACAGTTTCTGTATTGATCTCCTTTGACTGAAACAGAGATGCACAGCTCTGCTTTCCAGCTCAGTGGACGATTCTTGGAATAAAAAGTTTAGCTCATTCCAAGAAAAAGTTTTAGGAGCGCAGCAGTTAAAAATCAGGCAATGTTCAGCAATTTATCAGAGACAAATAGTAGATTAGTATTTTGAATTTCAAAATTTCAGAGGCGAGTTTTGTGCCATAGAGAAGCATTGTGGTGTAACATAGAGAGCAGATGATCTTAACTTCTCCGTACAAACAAGCCTGGAGTAAAGGAGAAACTGCATTTGATGTCTTAACGCTCAAAGCACACTATGTTTATATTACTTCTGTGAAGACTAAAAATCATTCCATAATGTTCTTATTGCCTCATTGAGAAAAAGGAAAATGAAAATTGAATACTAGATGGATTAATAAATACTCAAAGCTGCTTCTTTTAGAATTTTCATTAATTGAAATCAGGTAAATGTCTGATTTTGGTTATGTAACCAAGTATTTCTAGTTGTTTTTCAAATCATATGTCTTCTTGCTTCGCAGTCTTATTTCGTGAGTTGAGGGGAAATTGTAAGGAGACACCCTTGCCTTGTTATCAGAGTTCGTAATTGAAAGGAGTTTTAGGAAAAGTTCCTCTTCATCTGCTTATGTCTCTCTCCTGGTTATCTGCTGCTTCTCAATAATGTTTGTCATCAATAAATTAATCTCAACATTTATTAGATCCTACTTTAAAGGAGACTCTTTTCTGCTGCATAAGTTACGTTTCCTGTTGTCTCTTTTTAAAACTTATTTTTCTAACAATTACCCAGAGATTTTTAGCTTAACAGAAAAACATTAATTTTGTTCATCAACCTGTGGTTTGGAAAAAGGTTGGCCAGGACAGCTTGTCTCTGCTCCCCTCAGCTTCCCTAGGAACAGCTGATCACTTGGGGAAGTGGAATCATCTGAAGCTTTGCTCACCCATGTGTTTGATGGTTGATGCTGGCCATTGGTTGGAACCTTGCTTGGGGCAGGCAGCATGAACACTGACACTGGCACTCCCAGGCTGTCTCTGTGGCCTGATCTCTCTCACAGTCTGGGGGCTGAGTTTGAAGGGAAAGCAGTCTGAGATAGGGAAGCCACATGGCATCCCTTTTACTGCATTCTATTCATTAGAAGGAAGTCAGTAAGGATGGCCCATATTCTGTTCTTTTAGTGGGATGAATATAGCTTCTCTTTTGTTTTAATTGACAAGTATATACATAATTATGGGCTATAAAGTGACACTTTGATACGGGAGTATAGTGTGTAAAGATCAAGCCAACTAGCATATTTACTACTTCAACCATTTTTCATTGAATTGTGAACTTTCAAAATCTTCTAGCTTTTTAAAAATATAAATAAATCATAGTTAACCACATTCACCCTACAATGCCACAGAACACCAGAACTTATTACTCTTATCTAACTGTGATTTTGTATCCATTAACCAGACTCCCCTCCCCTACTTCTGTGTGCTTTTTTGCTATTGTTAAGAGACATGGTCTTGCTAGTGTCCTCTGCTCTCCAGGCAACTGTAGTCACCCAGACCAGAGACAGTGATTTGATCATAGCTCACTGCAGCCTCAAACTCTTGGGCTTATTTGATCCTCCCACCTCAGCCTCCTGAGCAGCTGGGGTTATGGGCATGCACCATTGCACCTATCTGATTTTTTACTTTGTAGAGATGTCTCTCTGTGTTGCTCAGGCTGCTCTGGAACTCTTGGCCTCAGGTGATTCTCCTGCCTTGATCTTTCAAAGTGCTAGGAAATTACAGGCATCAGCCATGTTACCCAGCCCTCAATTTTTCTTTAGCTCCTACACATGAGTGCGAATGTACAGTATTTATCTTTCTGTGTCTGCACTTAACGTAACATCCTCCAGACTGATCCACATGGCCACAAATAAGAGGATTTCATTTTTTATATGGTGTATAATATTCCATTGTGCATGTGTACCACAATTTTTTGTCCATTCATTTGTTGATGGACATGAAGGTTGATTTTATACATTAGCTGTTGTGAATAGTGCTACAATAAACTTATGAGGACAGGTATCCTTTCGATCTATTGTTTTCTTTTCTATTGCCTGAATACCCAGTAGTGGGGTTGCTGGATCCCTCGACAGTTCCATTATTAGTTTTTTGAGAAAACCTCATGTTGTTTTCTATAGTGGCTGCCCTAATTTACCTTCCCACCAACAGCATGTAAGAGTTTACTGTTCTCTGAAACCTCACCAGCGTTTGTTTTTTTTTTTTTTTTTTTTTGATCTTTTCCTCGATAGCCAATTATTCTAAATGGAGCAAGATTATATCACATTGTAGGTTTGATTCCCTAATGATTAGTGACACTGAACATTTTAAAATGTATTTATTGGCCATTTGTATTTCTTTTTTTTTTTCTTAAAAAAGAAGAAATATCTAACCACATCTTTTGCCCAATTTTGAACTCAGTTTATTGTTTTTACTCTCAGGGTATTTGAGTTCCTTGTTTATTTTGGATATTTGTCTTTTATTAGATGAAAAGCTTGAAAATATTTTCTTCCATTCTACAGGTTTTCACTTCACTCAGTTGTAGTACTGTTTGTCTATCGTTTGTTTTTTGCCTGTGCTTCTGATGTCTTACCCATACAAATCTTTGTGCAGACTAATGTCCTGAAGCATTTTCCCTATGTTTACTTATAGTAGTTTGATAATTTTGGGCCTTACATTTCAGTCTTCAATTGATTCTGAGTTTATTTCGCTATATAGTGTTAGATAGGAAGCTAGTGTCATTCTCCATATGGATAGTTTTCCCAGTGTCATTCATTTGAAGAGGGTGTCCTTTCCCCAATGTATGTTCTTGGCATCTTAGTCCAAAATCAGTTGGCTGTAAATATGTGGATTTATTTCTAGGTGCCGTATTCTATGGCCTTTACCCCAAGAATCATTACTTCTTAAAATGCAATTCAAATTAGCATGAAATATTTGCAGTTTAGGGAAAGGTTTATGGCATCAGAATCCTTATTTTCAGGATTCATTATTTTGTGTTTTTTGAGATATGGTCTTTGTCTGTCATCCAGGCAGAAGTGCAGGGATGTGTTCATAATTCACTGCAGCCCTGAACTCTGGGTACAAGCCATCCTTTTGCCTCAGGCTCCCAACTAGCTGGGTCTACAGGCCTGAGCCACCATGCCTGGCTAATTTTTTAAAATTCTTTTGTAGAGATGAGTGTCTCACTGTGTTGCTCTGGCTGATCTCAAATTCCTGGCCTCCAGTGATCTTTCTGCCACAGCCTCCTAAAGTGCTGGGATTACAGGCATGAGCCATCAGGCCTAGCCTAGAGTATCATATTATTTTCAAAGTCTTATTCTGAGAGCCATTTATTGACTTTGGCCTAAATAACAATATGATAGCTCTGAAACTTTTTTTGACAAATTTTGGGGAGTGGCCATGAGGGAAGGGGTTGGACACTTTTCACTAAGAGATCACTTTGGCCTAAATAACTCAATGTGATAGCTCTGAAACTTTTTTTGACAAATTTTGGGGAGTGGCCATGAGGGAAGGGGTTGGACACTTTTCACTAAGAGACCACTCAGTGCCGTTTCAGGAGGAACAAAAACGAATCATTGGGAAAATAAAAAGATCAAGCGCAGGTGTTCTGTGGCAAAGATGATGATAGTAGAGCGTGTATTTTTGTGACTTATGGTAGCTTTAACTTCGCTCTTAAAATTCTGAGTAATTTAAGGGTTCACATTTGAAGACTGTGCTACATTATTGATAACATGTTATTGCAAGTAAATGCATTTCAAAATTTGCTATTGGTTTTGTATTAGATTATTCGCAGCCTACTTCCCTATCAAGCTCTATTATTTTATTCATGCAGTTCGATGATCTTATGGCCGAGAAGGAAGCTGTATCTTCAAAATGTGTCAATTTGGCTAAAGACAATCAAGTTCTTCAACAGGAGTTTTTATCTATGAGAAAAATACAAGAGAAATGTGAAAAACTTGAGGAGGATAAAAAGATGTTGGAAGAAGAAGTATTAACTCTTAAGACACATATGGAAAACAATATGGTAGAACTTGGTAAAGCACAAGAATATAAATCGGAGCTAGATGAAAAGACAATGCAGATAATAGAAAAATTAGAAGAAATCCATTTACAGGTTAGTTTTTAAAGTCAGGTAAGTTTATCTGTAATGTGCTTTCATTTGTTTCACTGCAAATTATATTTTGGATATGTATATATTGTGTTTCCTCTGCCTCTCTTACAGCAATTTCCTTTGTAGGGTTCTAGGAAAAAAGTGGCATCTTTTTTCTTTTAAATATTTAAATTTCCATTATTTTTATAACAAAATTCATCTTTCAAAGTAATGATTCTCACTATAGAGTCATTTCAATATTAAGACCAGTTGGCATAAGAGAAAACTGTGATTTAGAAATTATGTGATACTTTTGAATTGGTCTTAAGCTATGTTGTTCATTGTTCACTTTTTTAAATTATAAATGGATTCTATTATTTTTATATGACTAGATTACATTAATACTGACATAATTATTATTTCAAATTTATTTAAATTAGACTTAATTCTGAATTCAGTTATTAGTTTTGTTGATATTGCTGATAAATATGTTAAGTTTCAGCTTCTTTTTTTAATGTATTAAAAATTGCTCTTTGAGTCACTGACTCAAAATGAAAGACCACAAACATGGTAATTAGGTAATAATTGTTTTAAAAGTGTATTCTTTCATTTGTTTTAGGAACAAGCACAGTATGAAAAACAATTAGAGCAGTTAAACAAGGATAATACGGCTTCACTAAATAGGAAGGAACTCACACTTAAAGATGTGGAATGTAAATTCTCCGAAATGAAAACTGCTTATGAAGAGGTTACAACCGAATTAGAAGACTATATGGAAGCCTTTGCAGTAGCGTTGAAAGCTAACAATTCCATGTCAAAAAATTTAATGAAGTAAGTGAAAACACACTAACAGAAAATGAATTAAGCTCATTAATTTGTTTTGAAAGTATAATTTTTAGTGAGATGGCTTCAGGAGATCAGTAGGAAGTGACTGCTAATCTGATAATGTAATTTTGGAAAACAATGTTAGTAAATAATCTTACCTTTAAAATGTTCTTCAAGGATAGTTTCTGTCTCTATGCTCTCTCTCTTTTTTTTTTTTTTTTTTTTTTTTTTGCTTTTGTATGGCTTTTTTCCCCGAAGTCTCATGTAGTTAACCTGACCTGTTAGTTTTTTTCACTAAGTATTTTTGAAGCTTTATAATTAATAAAGTGATCTTGTTATAAAATTGCCAGAATTTCCCTAAATAGAAATATTAAAGAGTTTATTTTTTGGTAGATCACAACCTAAACCCAAAGTGTCGAGTTGTGCTTCTACTCTGGGCACATACTGGCACTGAGGCAAGAACTGTTTTTGATTGTGATCTTTAGTATTATCACTAGAGGGTGCCTCAAGAAAGACTATTTGTGTAACATTTTCAAGGAGTTACAGCAAGTTGTCCTTGTGAAATAGGGAATAATTATCACAGGAATGAAAAGAAGTGTAATCCACAAGGTGGTTAAAAGAAACTGAAGGGGTATGTGGAAGGCAGAAAGAACAAGCCCCACCTGCAGTGCCTTGGTCACAGTGCTGGGGGCTAATTGCCTTCAGAGATGCTTTAGTTCTCTTTGATCACCAACCAACCAATCTGGTTCTCCCCCAGGAGTTGTTGCTCTGAGTTATTCTTCAGTGCCAAATACTTAAGTGTTCTTGGATAATGGGTGAAATGTACAAGGGTGAAACCTGAAACTGGTTTACAAAACACAAGTATTTCTAGATTATTTTTGTTCATTTTAGTCTTCTTAATCTACATTCTTTAAGGAGTACATGATGTTTTGATATAATTATTTATAGTGAAGTCGTTCTTATAGTCAAGCAAATTAACATATTCATTTTCCCATATAGTTACCCTTCAAATACAAGTATTTCTAAAGGAATCTGTAGAATCTTACAAGTAGAGCTATTTTAGAAGGCAGCTGGGTTACCTGTTGAGCTGTACATCACTGATAACCATTTCTCTTCCCTGTCGACTTTGAACTTCTTGCTCAGTAGAAATCACTTTAGAAGCAATATACTTATTTAGAATGATTTTAAAATTAAAGTTGCTTACAAGAGGTAGGCTCTCACACATCTTCTTGTGAAAACAGTGTTTAGTGGGTAATTTGGTTTACTCTCGGGCAACTGTTTTAAAAATGCAAGTCGTTAAGAATCATTCAAGGAAAAATGAAATACTAAGCATTTGTCTTTGCTGTCTTTACAGATCGAATAAGAAAATAGCAGTGATCAGCACCAAGCTCCTTATGGAGAAAGAGCGGATGAAATATTTTCTCAGCACTCTTCCTATAAGGCCAGACCCAGAGTTACCTTGTATTGAAAATCTTAATAGTATAGGACTCAACAGAAAAGATATTTCCAAAACACCCGTAAGAATTCCTACTTCAAACCCACAGACTTCAAATAACTGCGAGAACTCCTTGACTGAGGTTAGTTATATGACCATTTCTCTTTTGGGTTTCATTTCTTTAATATAATTCTTGTTTATAATTTGGTGAAATACTGAGTTGTTCTGTTGACTTATGCATGTTAAGTGAAGATTATAATTACCTGTGTTAACACAGAAAGGAAATGGGAACTTTACATTTTTTAATTCCCTGGAGCTCTCATTTTCAAGAGATACCCATTGCTAACTTTGTTCAATAAATGTGACTAAACTGACACATTTAAAATGTCTTTAAAAGCTGCATTTAAGTTAGGTTTTAGAAAATGCATGTTATTGCCTAAAAACTGACAGTATACTTTGAGATTCTTTGTCTTTGATTGTAGTTTCTCTGTGGTTCATATCATGTTTTTTTCTTTTCTTTTCTTTTTGAGATGGAGTCTTGCTCTGTTGCCTAGGCTAGAGTGCAGTGGCGCGATCTCAGCTCATTGCAACCTCTGCCTGCCAGGTTCAAGTGATTCTCCTGCCTCAGCCTCCCGAGTAGCTGGGACTACAGGTGCCTGCCACAACACCTGGCTAATTTTTGTATTTTTAGTAGAGATGGGATTTCACCATATTGGTCAGGCTGATCTCAAACTCCTCCTGACCTTGTGATCCAACTGCCTCAGCTTCCCAAAGTGCTGGGATTACAGGGTGAGCCTCTGTACTCAGCCTATACCACTTTTAAAGTTTCTTTGCACCATCTTAACTCTTCCCACTCATAATCACAAGTGAATGACTGGCAACCAAACACTTAACCACATACAGATATTTATTATTTAATAGAATCCAAAATAAGTGCATTTTATGAATTAAATAAACAGAACACTAAAAGGTTCATTTCCATTTTTCTGTTAAAAGCTTTGTGCTTAGCCAGGTGCGGTCGCTCACACCTGTAATCCCAGCATTTTGGGAGGCCAAGGCAGGTGGATCACCTGAGGTCAGGAGTTTAAGACCAGCCTAGCCAACATGAGGAAAGCCCGTCTCTCCTAAAACTACAAAAATTAGCCAGGCATGGTGGCAGGCACTTGTAATCCCACCCACAGCAACCCCATTACTATACTAGGGGTATACCTGAAGGAAAATAAATCATTGTAACAAAAAGATGCATGCACCTGTATGTTCGTTGCAGCACTGTTCACAATAGAAAGACATGGAGTCAATCCAGGTGCATCCAAGGTAGATTGAAAATCCAAGCTAGATTGGAGAATTCCATATATACAATGGAATACTTTGCAGCCATGAAAAGAACAAAATCAGGTCCTTTGCAGCAACATGGATACAGTTGTAATCCACTCTCTTAAGCAAACTAATGCAGAAACAGAAACCAAATATCTTGTTTTCACTCACATGTGGGAGCTACACATTAGGTGTACGTTGGCGTGAACATGGGAACAGTAGACACTGGGAAATAAGAACGGGGAGGCACAGAGTGGGCCAGGATTGAAAAACTACTTCTTGGGTCCTATGCTCACTACCTATGTGATGGGTTCACTTGTACTCTAAACCTCAGCATCCCTCAATATACCTTTGGAATAAACTTACACAGGTTCCACTTTAATTTAGAATACAAACTAGAAAATAAAAGAAAAATGTACTATAAAAATATTTTTTCTATAAGTAGAGAATAGAAATTTCTTTTTAAGAAAAAATTTATTGACGTAAAAAATGATTAAACTTTTTATAAAGGGCAGAGTTTTCCTAAGAATTTCAAAGCAATGCATTCATTGCAAAATATGACTTTAATTGTTTAACGTTTTTTTTCTTTTTATCTTTTGAGATGGAGTCTCACTCTGTCACTAGACTGGAGTGCAGTGGCACAATCTCAGCTCACTGCAATCTACGCCTCCTGACTTCGAGTGATTTTCCTGCCTCAGCCGCCTGAGTAGCTGGGACTACAGGCATGCGCCAACATGCCCAGCTAATTTTTGTATTTTCAGTAGAGACAGGGTTTCACCATGTTGGCCAGGATGGTCTCGATCTCTTGACCTTGTGATCTGCCCACCTTTGCCTCCAAAAGTGCTGGGATTACAGGTGTGAGCCGCCGTGACCAGCCTTTCTAAAATTATGTATATCCAATAGACCAATATTATCTATTTTTGTCAGATTACTCTAAATAGCATTACACAGATACAGCCTGTATTATCTAAACTTAAAATAAGTAGAAATTTTACTTATGTGATTATTTTTCTATCTAAGCAAACTTATGTTATGTCTAGTCACTAAAAATTCTAAAGGCGACATTTTGTAAGTGATATCTTATTCTCATGATAATGTCTCCTGTTTAACTTAAACATTATTTTTTTTAACTTATTTTAGATGGAGCCGGACTGTGTAGAACAAATAATTAGAGAAACAAAGAAAAGTATGTTGCCAAAATTTATTAATTAAATTTAGGTTTATTTTAGTAATAAAGTGTAAATAGCAAATGGCATTCCTTTTCATTGTGGGTTAGTAGATACTATGTACAGTATCTTTTTCTTACACACATCTAATGAAAGATGTGAAAATAAAAACTTTCACAGTGAAGAGTATACTTATGCACTGTTAATTCGTCATGTTACATACCTTAAAAAATTCCCAAGAAGTGTATCCATCTCTTTTTCACTGGCTCTACAATTTCTTCACTTTTGCCATCCTCATGGAACTGTCAGCCAGCACACCAAAATGATTCTCAGAAAACAAAGGCATCGTCAGGTTCTTAGGGTTTTGGTACAGACTGAAGGCCAACAGACCTCAGACTCACTTAGAAATACTTAGCTGAGCAATAACCCTTCATAAGCAGCCACTTGACAGGTGGCATTTTAAACCTCCTGTCGTTTACTGTGTCATTGACTTGTCTTACATCTGTTCTCAGGAAAAGTTCTAAAATTTTCACCATGAAATAAAAACACCCATGTCAATGTAATTGTCTAGTTACTCAGCCTTGTCTCTTGCCACTTACCGCACTCTGCCCTTTGCTCTAGCACCAAAGTGGACGGAGTAGAACTCTGCAGGGCTCTTTCTCACCTCAGGCTCTTTGCCTTCGCCTCTTTCCTCTATCTGGCAAGCTTTTCTTTGTCCTTCAGGCATCAACCTATGCATCTCCTCCACCAGAAAGCCCATGATATTGACACAAAAGTGGGATAGGTGTCCCTTCTGTGTGTTTCAGTAGTGCCCTGCTGTATACCTGTCATGGTATCTGTGACTCTATATGGACATTGCCTGCCTGTCTGTTTTTTAGGTTATAGCATATGACTGTTGAGAGGTGGACCATGCCATCTTCATCTTGTAATTCCAGTGCTAGCTCTAGTACCTTAGCATGTGGCTGTTGCGTACATGAGTGAAGAATGAAAAAGCTGTGATATTTAACCACAATTAGAATTAATGCCATGTATAAATTATTTAATAGTAGTTTTGTATTGTAATTGTACATACATATTCCTCATTCTTATTAACTCTGATAACGTTCTCAATGCTTTACATTTTAAAGTTACACTTGGTTAACTGAAATGTTTTAGGTAAAGAACATAATTCTTTCTTTTTCTTTCCAGCTTTTGATGTGTTGGGCACTTGCTCCGGTCTACTTTCTTCTCTAGAATCCACTGGTAAGCCACATCTAATGAAGAGGATATTTAACCAGAAAATCTTAAAGAAAAGTTGTGTGATTTAAAAGATCATAAAACTTTATCACTGGGCCATTTACATGAAATTTTAATTGTTTTTCATAAATATATAACATTTTCATATCATATGTATGATGAAAATTTTTATGGTATTTTAAATGATGTTTCTTCGCCTCCTTAAGTTTTAAGTGGATCTTGCAAATGATCCATTGAGTTTGGCATACTCAAATTGCCCAAATGTCAGTTGTTTAAACAGCCAAACAACCAAGTCATCATTGATACTTTAGTAAAGGTCATCAAAGGCTTATTTTCATTTTACAGTTTTTATTACTACATATAGTAGGAGACTTAAGGAGTACCTGCCAGGTTCATCCATACTAATGTTATGATTTTCTTTTTGTAGTTCAACAGTATTTTGTGTGGAGATACTTTGAGGCTCTGTAAACACTGGTTACTCCTCAAAACCCACTAGATTTAGCATTTCATTGATGACTTGTCTTTGAACAAGTATTACTGTGATGGTTGCCAGATGATTATTTTCTTATTCTCTTCTTCGTTCTACATGGAGAAATAAAACGAGTAAATAAAGGAGAAAGGAAAGCTCATGATTCTGGTGCTCCAATTCCCCAAGATTAGGCCAGGAGTAGACATTTCAAGCTGACTTTATGTCCTTCTTATTTGTCCCCGTTACTCTGTCAGCACTTTTTTACTTTCTGGCACAAGATGTTCCAAGATAATCTTGTATTTTCTCTGCCTCAGCCCTAGAATGAGTAATTTTTCTTAGAAGCAGAGTTGGAGCCACCGAGGAAGCACAGGTGAGTCTTCCCCAGCATGCACTCACTAGTCCCCAACAGAAGAACTGTTGCTACATCCACTAAGGTACCAAGAAACTGGCTATCTGGGGACAGTCCTGACGTGGTCCCTGGCTCAGCCTCAAGGGTTCTGGATTAGTCTCCCTGCAGCCTCTGTGCTGTGTCTCTAGATTGGGGCTCTGCGAGATGGGCCCTGGGAGACCCAGCAGCACAGGGTGTCTCCTCTGCCAAATGTCTCTCCCTTCCTCGCACTCTGACACTCTGGAATAGGATAGATGGCGTGTCCAGGCAGTGCCAGGCCACCTCACTGTCTCCTTTGAGATGAACCCTGCGGGCCTTGGGGGATGAGTGTGAAGCTGGCTACCTGGAGCCTGAGGCTGACTGTCTCTCCCTGTGTCTTGGAGGAGAGGCCTTGGGGCCCAAGAAAACCCCCAGTGCCTGACCTCTGGGCACACATACAGGGCGGGAGGGTCTGTGGGCTGATGGGGGCATTGTAATGAGACTTTGAACACAGCTGCTCAAGGACCTCATCAGTGGACCATGGTCAGAGATGACCTGGTCATCAGGACCTGGTCAGTTGGGACCTGATCAGCAGGGACCAGGTTAGTGGCAGCTTCCTTAGTGAAGGCCTTACCAGTGGGAACCTGGTGACCTAGTCATTGGAAGCCTAGTCAGTGGGGACCTGGTCAGTGGTGGCCTTATTCATGGAACCTGAACTGCTGGAACGTAAACAATTGATGGGGTCTATTCAGTATACTAGGGGCATGGTCAGTGTGGGGCCTTAGTGGCTTGAAGCCTGGTCAGTGAGGGCCTGGTCAGAGGGGGCTCGGTCAGCTAGGGACTGATCCATGGAGAATTGTTCAGTGGAGGTGGGGTTAGCAGCAACCTGGTAAATTGTGGTCTTGTCAGTGGGAACCAAGTCAGTGGGAAATTGGTCAGTGGGGTCTGGTCCATGAGGCCTATTAATGGGGGCGTGGTTATGGAGACATGGTCAGTGTGGACTTGGTCAGTGGGACCTGGTCAATGGAGGAGTGGTCATTAGGGGCCTCGTCAGTGGGTACCTGGTTAAGGGTGCCTGGTCAGTAGGAACCTGGCCAATTGGCTGCTGTGTGACCTTAGGCAAGGGGTTTGTCTGTGGATCCTCCTTGCCTCCATCTGTAGGGAAGCTGGGTCAGGGCACCTTGGAGGGTTGCTAGAAAGAGTACGTGAGAAGATATGTTGAATCCACACTGCTTGACAGACCTAGAACTTTACACTTGACCTGGGTTCCACCTAGAGAGGGTGCCAGCCCTTTCTGCTCTGTCCGGCACCCCTCCTCTGTCTGCATTCCCAGGACCACCTTCCGTGGGGAGGGCAGAGATTGGGGAGCACCTGTGGAGGCTCTAATGCTGGCCCTGCGCCCTGGTGGTGACAGTGATGAGGACCTGGATGCACCTGTGAGTGGAGCAGCTAGGTCTGGCCAGAGAAGCAAGACAAACAAACACACCCATATGTACACACACACACAGATGCACAAACACATTGCATGCACACATGTCAGTTCAGTGGATAGAGGACACTGACTCTGGGCCCTCTTGACCCAAGCAGGCTCCAGTTGTGGTGGGTTGTGTCACCCCACGATGTCACTGTTGCTGAGCCCCCATTGCCTCTGTGTTGTGGAGCAGTTAGAGACACACAGCAGTATCCGTGAGTGGCTCTGCGTGAAGGACTGTTTTCTAGGTGAAAGGCACATCTCAGCACAGCTGACTGATCAGACTCAGGTGAGTGGAACCTGCTCTCTTCTCTTCCTCCTGGCTTAGGGACAGTAGCTATCAGGTGGGTGGTTTTGGCCTCTGGGCAGCTACTGAGGGTAATCCCTGAGCACTCACCAGGTGTCTGTTCTGTGCTGACAGTCATCTTATTTATCCTCACAGCAATTCCATTCTGCATCTCCTCTGGACCCCACCCCAAGGACCACCAGGACAACCCCATCAGGGCCCTATCACCAGGCCCAGTCTAGCTCCATGATAGCCAAGAAGCAGATCCAGAGACAACTGCCCTGCATGGTGCCTGCATCTGACCCCCCTTGATGGGTAGTGATGAGCACAACATGGAAGAAGCCAGGGCAGCATGTGGACAGCTGCCCTGCAGCCCCAGATGGCACCTGGGCCTTGGGAAGTCGTTCTCAAAGGGGGAGCTCGTCACTTTGATGTCCCTGGAGGGAAAGGTGAACGTGGCATCCCGACAACCCTGGCAGCCAGCAGCATGCCATACATCTTCTCACCCAACCTGTGGGACAGAGGCCCCTTCCTGGGGAATAAGATCCATACCTAAAGGGTCCTGGCCCAGTCGGGCCTCATCTTGCGCCCTGGGAGGCGAAGGGCACCATGGGCCCCCAGCAGCAACCAGGATTACCACCCAGGGGACTCAGCCTTCTATGGCCCTGGCCAGACTTAGAATTTGGTCCAAGACAGGACAAGCTCACTCAGAGCAGCCTGTCAGTACCCAGGGCCTGTGCATGCCAGGCAAGGCCAAGCTGGGTCAAAGAGAAACCAGCCACCTTTGCAAGGGTGTGCCTGGAGAAGGTAGACCAGCCACCAGCCTCACCCCCTTAAGGAAGCAGGGGTGGCCAGGTTCCCACAGCCTGAGTAGCTGCCACCTGATGGCTGATGGAGCGGAGGCCTGAGGAAAAGCAGATGGCACTGGGGCCCTACCTCCAGGGAGGAATAACTGATTTACCCTGACTGGCAGCGAGTGAGGTTGGTGGCTGATCCACCTGCTCCTGGCACACCCTTGCAGAGGTGGCTGGTTGCTCTTTGAGCCAGCTTGGCCTTGCCTGGCACGCACAGGCCTCAGTGCAACAACTATGCTACAAATGGAGCCACATAGAGAAAATGAGCAGCAGGCTCAGGAGCAGGGTGTGCACTGCCTTTGGGGCTCCAGTCCATGCTTCAGGGCTCCTACAGCACTGTGGGCTTCTTTGGTGCCAAGAGGCAGACCACAAGCCATCTTGAGGAGGACTCTATGCTCAAGTACAGAAAGGGCCCAGTCTGGTGGGTGAACCACACGGCCAGCTTCTGGGTGCAGGCACAGTGCCACATCTTCCATCACTTCCTGATGTGCCCCACCAGTGCTGAAGAGACAGCCTGGAGACAGGGCAAGAGGAAGGCTGAGAAGGATGAGATGGTGAATTCTAGCTTCTTCCTGACCCTCAGCCCACCTCCAAGGTGGCCCTCAACCTTTAGAAGTGAGAGAGCAAGATTGATGACTTTGAGTGCTTTACCAGGAAGATGGACAACAGGGCACTCAGCTCAACTTCACAGCCAATGAGTTGACATGCAAGCAGGTGATGGTGATGGTCTTTAAGAAAGAGCATCAGAAGGTGGCCAGTTCTTCAGCCTCGGCCAGGTCTTGGAGCTGGAGCAGGCCATCACTTCACCAGAGATGCCTTCAACACTGATTGGCTCTTTGCCAGTCAGCCCAGGCAGGACCTGGACCCAGTCATGGACCTGTTAGTGCTGTCTCAGGGACACCAGACCAAAATCCTGGACATCATCCGTATACACAAGGAAGCTCTTACCAAAGTCATGCAGAGCAGGCAACATGTGGCAGAAGGGAAGACAGAGGTGCAGAGGCTGATGATGCCAGAATCACAGGAACAGGATTTTTGTGGCCACTTTGGCTGAAATTCACTGCTTCCATCCAATTCAAATGAGAGACATGGACTCGTAGATGCAGTATTTCTTGCAACAAGAGATACTAGTTTTTCAAAAAGTCACCCAGGAATTGATAGTGTTGAATGACTAGATACTCCTTTGTGGACTGTTTCCAGTTCAAGGATAGTTTCTACAGCAGAATAATAACACTAGCAAAGAGCTAGTGCCAGCTATTGGTGGTAGGACAAGGATGGTTTTGTTCTCAACTGAAACTCAGCTGAATACAGAATTGTGTAGGAAAGAGTTAATATGGTGATAGAATAGAAAGAGCAGCAAACATGAACTAAATCAGGCTATGAATGCCTACACTACCATTGTAATTTTTGGAAGAATGATACCACTTATTTTATTGCTTTTGAAGTGTGACTATTTTAGTTTATATGCTGTAGACCTCAAACCCTGTGAAGAGTCTCAAAGAAGCTGGCTGGATAAAGCCTGCTGTGGATGTCTTTATATTCAAAGATTGATGATGCAATTCAAGTATGTGTCCCCACCAAATCTCTTGTTGAATTATATTTCCTAATGTGGAAGGTGGATCCTGGTCTAAGGTGATTGAATCCTGAAGGCAAAGTTCTCATGAATGGTTTAGCAGCATCCCATTGCTACCGTCCTCACAATTATGAGTGACTTCTCATGAGACCTGTTCATTGAAAACTCTGTGTCATGTTCCTACTCTGTGTGTTTTCCTCTTGCCGTGTAAGACAACTCACTCTTTTCCTTGCACGAAGATGGAAAGGTTTCTGAGGCCTCCCAGAAGCAGAAGCCAGTGTGCTTCCTGTCCACCCTGCAGAACCATGAGCTAATTAAACCTCTTTTTCAAAATAAATCATACAGAAAATGGCAAATGAGGACTGGAGCGTTGCTATAAAGATACCTAAAAATGTGGAAGCAGTTTTGGAACTAGGCAATGGACAGAGGTTGGAAGAGTTTGGAGGCTCAAAAGAAGACAGATAGATGAGAAAATGTTTGGACCATCTTAGAGACTGGTTAAATGGTTGTGACAAAAATCCTGACAGGAACATGGACCGTGAAGGCCAGGCTGAGGAGGCCTCAGATAGAAATAAGAAGCTTTCTGGGAAATGTCTTCCTTTTGGATATGGAAAGCTTACACAATGCCTGCACCGTCATTGTACCTTAGAAGCAGTGAACTTGCTTTTTATTTCAGAGGCTCATAGGTAAAAGAGGCTGTAGCCTTGACTCAGATGAGACTTTGGACTTTGTAAGTTTGAGTGAATGCTGAAACGAGTTAATGCTTAAATGAGTTAAGACTCATGCTGGCAAGGCATGATTGTATTTTACAATGTGAAA